CATCATTGCAGATTATGTCTTACCTAGAATATTGCTATCACCTTTCAGTTGCCAGATGTTCCATCAAAGGTTGCATTTGTGTATCTTTCTAATTGTCCGACATATAGCTTGGATTAATGGTACAAACCCATCAAAAATGAAAATTAGATTTTGGTTATGACAAACACTGTTTGATGCATCACTGGGGCAGCAGATAGGCTTGTATTTAAAGGCCCCCATTCTTCGCCTACACATTTTATGCATTCCCTTGTTCCATCCATCTCATTATGTAGCTTTCGAATAACTCTGATAGACGGCAAGATGCCTGCATTGGATGTGTTTGGGAATTGCTCTCTTACATTGTATAGAGTTAAAGTGGAAAAAAGCTTAAGGGGGTTATTTACTAAAACTGGAGAGTGCAAAATCTGGTGCAGCTCTGCATAGAAACCAATCAGCTTCCAGGTTTTATTGTCAAAGCGTAACTGAACAAGCTGAAGAGCACCAGATTTAGTAAATCTCCCCCTAAGTCTAACATTTCTTAAAAATGTTTCCTCCCCCCTGCTACCTAATCTGCCTAACCTGTATAAAAAAAGTTTGTGGGCTCCTGCAACCCTGATTTAGGGAGAACTCAACAACAGCTAGTAATTCTGGGAGCCTTGCTGTCGCAAATAGGCTCCCATACCCAATGTCAGCCCTCCCTCCTCTCCCCTGCAGCAGCTGCTCACTGACACAGGGGAGCTGGAGATGTGGGATCATGTAAACGGACCAGAGTGGATTAAAAAAAAAGGGTAAGTATACTTATCTTTTTTTAATATGGTTTAGGCAGGATAGGTAGAAGCAGGGCAGACTGACCATTTGGAAACTCGAGGGCCCGGGGTCAGTAGGGGGCCCCATGATCCCCTATTGTCCGGGGGCCCCATGAGTTGTCAGTCTGCCCCTGGGTAGAAGAAAGGAGGAAGAAGAAACATTTTTAAGAATTAACTTACGCTTTTCTTCCACTTTAAGCAAAAAATGTGTTAACAGATCAACAAGATTACAGAAAAAGGAATGGGGTTGATTCAGTTGATTTAGGTTCTGTTTTCTATGTCCCTTTTGCAAGGCTTCAATTTAATTGTTGAATTAACTGTACCTTTAAACAGACACCTTGCTCATTCTGGAAAATGTTACAGTGACTGTATCCAGCATTCCCTCCCTCAACCCCCCTCCTGATCCCTTTTATATGGTTGCAACGTAAAAATACCTAGTGCTTACAAGTATGGGTGAGTGTGTGACTTCAGCCTTTAACCACTTGCCCTCTAGAGGATTTACTCCCCCCCCCCCCCCTCCACTTCCTGACCAGGCCATTTTTTGCAATATGGCACTGTGTTTTTTTTAACTGACAATTGCGCGATCATACAACACTGCACATAAATGAAATGTATGTCCTTTTTTTCCCACAAATGGAGTGGTATTTGATCACCTCTGCATTTTTTATTTTTTTTGCGCTATAAGCAAAAAAGACCAACAATTTTGAGAAAAAAAGCAATATTTTTGATTTTTTGCTATTAAACATGTCCAGTAAAAAAATGTAAAAAACCAAATATCATCATAAATTTAGGCCAAAATGTATCCTGCTACATGTCTTTCTAAAAATAAATCCAATATGTGTAAATTAATTGGTTTACGTGAAAGTTATGGTGTCTACAAATGGTGGTATATATACTGGAATTTTTTTTTTCTCCTGCGAGACTGCAGTGGGCATTCTGACACTTGGGGGGGAACTGACTAACTGTCATTGACATCCCCAGTGACACTAATAAAGTGATATGTGCTAATAAAAAGCACTGACACTGTACTAATGGCACTGGGCAGAAAGGGGTTAACATCTGGGGTGATCAAAGGGTTAACTGTGTGCTGTGTGTGTTTTTTTACTGTGTGTTGTGTGTGTCTCGTGCTATGCAGAGCAATACAAAGCAATGTGCAGGAGCTGACAGGGGAGAGAGAACTGTATTGTTTATATACAGGTCTCGCCCCTGCCAGTTATACTCAGCAATCGCCGGATGCCAGTGGGGAATCACCAGCTGGGACCCGGTGATCGACAGCTGAGCCGCCAATGGCACTGCGCGTGCCCCCTACCCAGCAATGCAAAATCACGTATATATACAGCAGTTTGCGCCGCCCTGCCACCCTGTAGCAGTATTTCTGCTATAGGGCGGTGGAAAAGCTATTAAAGTGAATGTAAACCCTTACATATACCCAGTGAAGTGACTGGCCTCAGGTGATACACAGAAAAGAAACACATACCTGTCTATCTACATCCGTCTGGTAACTACATCCATTCAAAGTTCAGAAGTGCTTCACTGCCAAAGATCTCTCAGCTCTGAAAAGCAGGGGGCAGGAAGCTGAAGTTAAATCAATGAGGAGAGCTCTGCGAGCTGATTGGAGGGAAGAGACAGGCCCCCCCTTAACACAGCACACAGGAGCAGAGATGAGGCTGTCAATCTGCTGGAGGTACCTCCCCTGTCACCATTTTTCTCTTGGTGTCAGGAAAACTTGTCAGAAGTGACTCATGCTGATAACAGAGGAATAAGGCTGCAGGCAGAAATGGCACTTAATATTCTGGAATGAGACAAGTACACACTATTGATAGAGGGATATGATTTGTTCATACTTCATGTCTAAGGTTTACAACTACTTTAATGCAGTGCTTTGTACTGGCATACAATTGCATGACAAGGGGGTGGCAACACTCCTCCCTCTGATCTGCCACAGGATATTTTGTTGGTGGCTTTGACAGAGGAAGGAGTTGAGGGGGGGGGGGGGGGGGAGCTGAAGAGGAAAGTATAAAGTGGTCAGGGTTGGGATTTTCACTAACATCACCCATTTGCCCTGAATGGCCAAAGTGATAGGATCTCCTGAAATCTGAACTCCAGGCAGATATAAAAGCACAACTTTGTAATAATTAGGACATCATTGGATGTCTTTTTTTAATGCAAGCAGTATAAGTTACCTGTATTTGACTTGATGTCAACTTCTCACAGTCTACTCTACAGATAGGTTTAGAAAGGGAAAGGAGAAGCAGCACAAGGAGAAAATTAGGTGTGTTGCAGTGAAAGAGCATGCTGATGTCAGAAGGAAGCAGAGTGATGGAGAGATGAGCTCACCAGTGTGCTGCTATTTTTTTCACTATTCAATAAGACAGTAGAGGTGAGGCTTGAGCCTGTAAGTGAAAGTGAAACTGCATTAGAAAAAATTTAGCAGATCCCTCTTCCTGACAAATAAGGCTGTGTTGTGGGACAGAGCTGTGTGCTGTATATCTCAGAAATGATTAGCTATATAAATCCTTTGTATATGTTTCATTTGTGTATTTAACTGTTTGCCTGGAGTTCAGCTTTAAGTATCGCAGCTAAATGGCAATTAAATATAGATGACTGTGCGTTACTTCTGCTTCTTTATACCCAAATAATTTAATGAAGAGCATAATCATTGGTGCCTTTTAATCCAAAATGCAATCTGTTCAGTGTCTTGGATAATACTATGAAATTTGAAATAGTAGAGAGCCCAAAATTTGCATCAGGATAAATAAAGATTGTCAGTTTATAGATCACACACATTTAGGTGAGGAATGCATTCATAAAGTTTAATGCATAAGAGTGACTTGATTTGGGGAAAAGACAAATTAAAGTGCGTACTTTATTCCCCTAGACTGTAAACTCTTATAGGCAATTTGCACTGTATCTGATTCTACCTTTGAGGTGACCTTGTTTAGCTCTGTATTATCATTTCACAACAGGACGGAGCAGCATGTTTTTATACATACAGGAAATAACACGCCATCCAATGACACATCTGATCCAGTGTTGTAATGATATTAAAATCTGCTTTGGCCATGTCACAATGTGTACTTCCATTACAAACAGGTGGAATTCAGATTGGCTTACAATGGTGGTTTTCTGTGGACTGTTTTTCTTTGTCGTGGAGAATTCATAAATATGTTATGAAAATAGGTGCCAAATGGATTATGTGATCAGCTTCTCCTGCTTACATCCAACAGAAAATATTATGGTTGGGTAAGAGGAGGATGTGTATTTAATAAAAAAAAAGTTTGGAAAAGTAAAATATATATTCTGTGTATTAATAGAGATCTTGAGGTGAGTCATTTTTGGTCATGTTTTTATGAACTGGGAATAGTTATTTATGTTTCTAGGCCTTCTGCAGGGCTGGCTCCTTTCCTGGCTCCACAAGTAGTCCTCCCTCCAGGGACTGGTGAGGCTGAGCGATCCTCCTGTCCATGTCGCAAAACTGTAGGTAAGCTCCTTCCCACTGGCCCCCTCCCAGGCAACTTTACTTCCTCCTAACACTCCATCTTCCACCCAAACTCTCCTGCTGATGAGCAGGCTCAGTCATTCTTAAAGGCTGTTCTGACCCCATGCCAAGCCTCCTGCCTGGGGATTGGCCAGAACCTCGCAATAGTACAGACCAGCTCCTCCTCACCCCCCCGCCCACTGAGACTTCTCCAAGTCCCTAGATTAGGGAGAGGTATCAGGGAGCTGATCTGCAGAGCCCTGACCTAAATTTGACCCTCTGACTATCACCCAGGCTGCTACTCAGCCTTCTAACTAAAAAAATAATTAGCTAGCTCCCCCTAACTAACTATTGATAATAAAAATTATTTTCCATCCATTTGTTGGTCTTTAACAGCTCCAAAAGCCTCTCATTGACAACAAGCTCTGCAAATTGACTATGAAGACATATACGTCTACATCCCTTCCTGCTGTTGTTAAAGAAGAACTCCAGGCATCGCCATGTTTCTACATAGTTACATTGGTCCAGCTTGCACCAAATTTACTATGTATATGCCATACTTGGCCACTGCCATTGGAAACTGGAAATTACTTTAACCACCTCCCGCCCGCCATATAGTCCAATGACGGGCGCAAGGTGGTTCTCTCGTTCTGAGAGGACATCATATGACGTCCTCCCATTCTCACCGCGCATGCGCGGCTCAGGGAGCGTGCAGCACGGTGATCGGCGGTGCGCTGTGTCCCTCGGACACAGCGGATCACCGATCACGGAAAGAGCCGAAGATGTCGGCTCCGTCATGTGATCAGCTGTGTCCAATCACAGCTGATCACAGGTAAACACGGAAATGCCGGTTATTGGCATCTCTCTCCTCTTGAGCTGTCACGCTGACAGCTCGAGAGGAGAGGAGAGCCGGTAATCGGCTTTCCACGGAGGGGACATCTACACTGATCATTAGGGCACTGATGATCAGTGTGCCCTGATGATCAGTGTAGCCCCAGCAGTGCCACCTGTCAAAGCCCATCAGTGCCAGCTGTCAGTGCCTATCAGTGCCACATCAATGCCACATATCAGTGCCCATCTGAGCTGCCTTTCAGTATCATCCATCAGTGCCAGTCAGTGCCACCTATCAATGCCAATCAGTGTCACCTATCAGTGCTCCCAATCAGTGCAACCTATCAGTGCCAGTCAGTGCTGCCTATCAGTGCCAGTCAGTGCTGCCTATCAGTGTGCATCAGTGCCACCTATCAGTGCCGTTCAGTGCTGCCTAACAGTGCCAGTCAGTGCCGCCTAACAGTGCCATATATCAGTGCCATGTATCAGTGCCATGTATCAGTGCTGCCTTTCAGTGCCCATCAGTGATGCCTGTCAATGCCCATCAGTGCCGCCTACCAGTTCCTCCTCATCAGTGCCCATCAGTGCAGCCTATCAGTGCCCATCACTGCAGCCTCATTAGCGCACATCAGTGAAGGAGAAAAATCACTTATTTACAAAATTTTATAACAAAAACTAAGAAAAAACTTTTTTTTCAAAATTTTCAGTGGTTTTTGGTATGTTTAAGAAAAAATAAAAAACCCAGAGGTGATTAAATACCACCAAAAGAAAGCTCTATCTGTCACAAAAAAATGATAAAAATTTCATATGGGTACAGTGTTGCATGACCGTGCAATTGTCATTCAAAGTGCGACAGTGCTGAAAGCTGGAAATTGGCCTGCGCAGGAAGGGGGTATAAGTGCCCGGTAGGCTAGTGGTTAATAGACATCACTATTAAAGTGATCACAATTGTTTGTGGGTTGCAAGTTGAGTGGCTGCTCTCCTGCATTCTGAACAAAGGAGGTTGTCTGTTTGGTATGGGATGCCATTCAGAGAATGCTTTACATTTTCTGAATTAAAGCAAAGTGTTGTCTGATTGGACAAGGTGGAGAGGCGGGGGGTGGGTGACAGGGGGGGCAAATTATGCTCTGAATGGTGCCTATGCTAAGCAACCAACCAACCTCTTGTATTCACAATGCATCAGGCCAGCTTCTCGGTATGGGACCCCGAAGCAAGTGGAGATCATATGAAGTAGTGGTGTCTACTTCAGTGATTTCCAGCTTCTAGGGGCATTGGGCAGGTATGGTACACATATGGAGTTACATTGATCCAAGCCAGAACAAGGTAACTATGTATAACATGCTCTTGCCTGGAATTATTCTTTATTTCTCTAACTATGGACAAAAGTTTTAAAAATGGCACATACAATATGATGTAGTCTGTCACTACAGGACCCCGAAGCAAGTGGAGATCATGTGAAGTAGTGGTGTCTACTTCAGTGATTTCCAGCTTCTAAGGGCATTGGATAGATATGGTACACATATGGAGTTACATTGATCCAAGCTGTAACAAAGTAACTATGTATAACACCTCTAAAGCTGAACCCTGCAAATTAGTCTACCCTTGCAGTGGCCCCCCCCCCCCCCCCCCCCACGCATGGCAAGAGTTAAATGTTTGATTACTAGTAAAAAATTGGGAACTGTGCAAAACTGTGCAAAAAAGCAAACACAAAAGAGAATATACTCTCTGATGAATAACAATCAATAATAAGTGTTATGTTATTGCATATACATACATAAAAAACATTTTTGACACTGAAAATATGTCAAAATGTGTTCCAACTGAATGATCAAAGGAAAAGTTAAATAGAAATGATTGAACATAATATAGTCCCCTGTAAATAAATAAAGTGAAAAAAGTCCAAAGAATGAACACCTGTAATTGATAATCCAAAGTGAAATCTACGTGACAGTCCCCTTTAAGAAGAACGCTCCGCTCTATAATCTTCTCATTTTCTTCTACTGACACCAGTGTCACCCAACACCACAGTGAGGACAAGATGCTGACTTACCATATATACCGACCCCCTTATTCAGAGTGGTCAGTAAACACTCTGTTAAACCACAATGGCAACTCTCCACACCAATCCAAACACTGTTAACTTGTACCGCTCCTCAGATGCAAGTCAAGTGCAAGGTGTGCATATGCAATCATGTAAAAACAAAACAATGTATACCTTGCATAGTGTAGACATCATAAAACACCATTTAATAAGCAAGAACCGCACTTACAAACATAAATGGACATGTGCATATCAAGTATTCACCAAAACGTCGAGTATGGCATTAATTTGTGGTATAATCTCCCATCTCTCTGCTGCCATTTACATCCAAGCTCCTTGAGCGCTTAGTCTACAATTGCCTAAGCTCCCACCTCACTGACAACAACCTCCTCGATCCACTACAGTCTGGCTTCCGGCCCCTACACTCCACTGAAACCGCCCCTACTCAAAATCACTAATGACCTGCTAACCGCCAAAGCTAATGGCCACTACTCAGTCCTCCTGCTCCTCAATCGCTCCGCGGCCTTCAACACAGTTGACCACCCCCTCCTCCTTAATAAACTACACTCCCTTGGCATCAGAGACTCCGCTCTCTCCTGGCTCTCCTCCTATCTATCCCAATGCGTTACGTATAACGCTACCACCTCCCCCTCTCTCCCCCTCTCTGCTGGGGTCCCCCAAGGCTCTGTCCTCGGGCCCCTTCTCTTCTCCATCTACACCTCCTCCTTCGGCAAACTGATACACTCCCACGGCTTCAACTATCACCTCTACACTGATGACAGGCAAATTTACCTCTCCACCCCTCACCTCACCCCTTTATTCTCCGCCCATATCACTCACCTACTGAATGACATATCAGACTGGATGTCGCTCCATTTCCTCAAATTGAACCTTTCCAAAACCGAGCTCCTAATTTTCCCCCCAGCCCGCGCCCCCCCCCTTCATCCTCTTCATCACAACCAACATCGCCACCATCAGTCCCACCCCGCAAGCCAAAGTCCTAGGTGTCACTCTAGACTCAAACCTGTCCTTCCAACCCCATGTCCAATTGCTGGCAAACTTTTGCAGGCTCCACCTCCACAACATCTCCAAAATACGTACATTCCTAACCCCAGACACTACTAAACAACTCGTTCACTCCCTTATTATCTCACATCTGGACTACTGCAACTCCTTTCTCACCGGACTACCCCAACACAGGCTATCCCCGCTTCAGTCTATCCTGAAGTCAGCGGCCAGACTCATCCACCTTACCAACCGCTCCACTTCTGCCACCCCCCTCTGTCATTCCCTCCACTCGCTTCCGATTGCCCAACGCATAAAATTCAAACTACTAACATTGACATACAAAGCCATTCATAACGCTGCCCCAAACTACCTCACCGACGTGATACCCAAATACTACCCTATCCGTACTCTTCGTTCCTCACAAGACCTCTTACTCTCCAGCTCCCTGGTCTCCTCCTCCCACGCCTGACTGCAGGACTTTTCCAGGACTTCCCCCATCCTCTGGAACTCACTACCCCAATCCATCAGACTGTCACCTACCCTCCTCACCTTTAGGCGACCCTGAAAAACCATCTCTTCAGGGAAGCCTACCCCACTCTCACTTCCGATCTCCTCCAATCCTCCTACCACTCCATCCCCCACAGCCACTTCCTCCTGTACCACTATCCCCTCCCTCCTAGATTGTAAGCTCGAAAGAGCAGGACCCTCAAACCCCTTGTGTATTGTTTTGTTACTGTATTGTCTCATGTACTATCCCCCACTATAATGTACAGCGCTGAGCAAACCTTTTGGCGCTATATAAATACTGTGTAATAATAATCGCACATGATGATGTCACAAATATATAACAATAAGGATCATGTACTGCCACTTTTTCTGGACAGCTTGGTCTGTTAAAGGAAGTTTAAAAATAGCAGACTTACTGGCCAGATCGGCAGGTTAAAATAAAGGAAAAAAAATCATAAAAATATAATACATTTTTGGCTTTGGGTTTAAGGATTAATAGTACTTTAAAGGCCAATTCCAGGCTCTTGGCTTGCTCTTTTTTTTTGGGATACTCACCTTTTCTAAATGTCAATGTTATTGATGAACTACATACAAGAGTATTAATAACGATGCAAAAGGTAAATGCTAATCCATGCAAATTAGAATTCTAGGGTGCATGCATTTTTGTGGCACATGTTGCATGTTAGCTTGATGAGATTAAGGTATATCTTAAACCAGATTTTTTTTTCATCCTGCATAGAGTCGGGTATTTTATTTTTGTGAAGGTTTTCTTTCACTTCCTGTTTTCAGCAACACAACAGGAAGTGAGAGTAAATTTCTCTAAATTAGGTGGCAATTCCATCCTCGAGTGTCGTTGGAAAACATTTTAGACTGTAACCCTCTTGTCTTGAACTGTATTGTTGCTGTATTGTCTCCCGTTATATTGTAAAGCGCTAAGCAAACTGTTGGAGCTATATAAATCCTGTATAATAATAATAATTTGGCCTTGGATACACTTTAATTAGTAAGGTTCAACGTAAGAGATATATAAAATTAGGAACTTGAACATAAATCAAATAAGATTCATCTCAGAAAGGGTCAAATCTCATTCACCCAATGGACTGTGCTTAATTTATGAAGACATTTTATATAGATCCTTGCCACTGATATTTAAAATATCATTACATTTTATTACCGGTTACACTAAATGTTCTTTATGTAAGGGAGTTTGTCCTTTGCTTCTGACATGCATTTGTGAAGCCCCTTGGAAGAATTTAGAATGCAGTGGCTTAACTTTTGTTATTTGGATTGCTTTTGGTAAATGCACAATGTCCTGTTCTGCTATAATTCCCCTTTTCCCCCAATATATATCAAAGTCAGTGCCAATTAAAACCATTCTATGGATGCAGGTCAAAAGCCGAGGAAAGCAACTCAAAAGTATCCTAAATATGTTTGACTTGCCTTTGCATCTGATGCCCATATACACTAAGCTAAATATGTTGTCCATAGTAACCAGTTTATTTTGTTCTGCAGTCTGAAGACTGCACTGAGGTGCTGATTTCAGGAATCCAGCTCTCGGTTTAATAAAGAGCATTAGAAGAGCATTAAATACCATTATGGCAGTGATGCTCTGGTCTGGCCCTCAAGGCCCGACAATGAACATTTCTTCACTAAAACATTATTTATCTCACATGACAGTCTGTGAAAAGAGCTGAAAAACATACATTGTTAGGGGGTCCTGAGGACCAGAGTTGAACACCTCTGTGCTTGGTATTCATTTAATTGAGTGTCCTATTATCCCGAACAGTTGGGCCCCTCAAACA